TTTTGATGGTACAATAACTTTACTATTTCATATTTAATAATTTTGACACAATATTCATTATTTAATTATCAATTATTACATATTTAATAGAGAATCAATGTATGACAACACAAATCAATTATCACCATTCATTTTGCAATAGAGATTATATTTTTCGTCCAAAATGTCACACATTAAATTCTAGAGACAAGCGTAATAAAATTACCATCACATAAGCAAAATATATAATACTCGCTGCGCTGTGCATTGCATGGGAAAGAAGACCCTAGTATGCAATTTTCTGCGTTTTAAACTCGGCAAGTATGCACACCTTTGTTTTTTATTTTTTTAAAAAGTAATTGATGGCATGCTTCTTTAATTTGATCTTTATCCTATTTTTGGCCTTTGAAGATAATTTTATCTTTATTTGTTCGCATCTTTCTCCTTTCAAAAGCGGTTATCACGACATAAATGATATTGATTTTTTTTTTAAAAAAGCATAGTTTTAAGATCTCCTAACAATGATTATTTCATGCTTGACTAGATAATTTTTATATTGATTATTTCATATTTTATATTTAGGAAAAAGTAGATAATCTCTAAAATTTCTTTCAGGTTTTGCTTTAATTAACTAAATTTTTTTTTTATATTTAGCACTTTCATACCATCAAGTCACATAATGTAATGTTGAATTTATGGTCATCTACCGAATTTCTGTGTTTTTTTTTGACATATTGAATGAGTGTTAATTAATTTAAATTTTCAAATTAAGAGTCTAACCAATTTTTTCTTTTTTCTTTTTTTGCGTTTAGACTCAACAAGTATGCACATCTTAGCTTTTTATTCCCCCCCCCCCCCAAATGGCCTGCATGCTTTCTCAATTTGATCTTCATTGTAATATATGGTGTTTCATTTTCAGCCTGTTTGTGCACGCACACTATATCTTCTTTCTAAATTAATTATCCATAAAATAACTAATTTTCTTAAAAGAATTAACTAATCGTTTTGAATTAGTTTCATACTTTACTATACCTAAGTTTTTATACTGATTATTTCATATTTTATATTCAGGAAACAGTAGATAATCTCTAAAATTTCATTGATGTTTTGCTTTATGCTCATGTAATATTAAGGATATCAAAACCAATATAAATTTCAACACACATGTAAAGGAATCTATTTCTTGTATCATTCAAAAGGAGACATTCAAAATACAAATTTGAACGTAATGCACAAGAGACAGACCGTGACTAACAAGTCAAGCACGCCAATTACTTTGTTTCTTTGACGTCTTCTCAGCTAACGTTTTTTGTGGGTAATCTTAATCCACAACCTATTAAATTTAATTATATTTATACAAACTAAACCAACCTTAATTTTGTTAGGATACTATCCTTCAGTATAATTTTTCAAATTGTTTTAAAAAAATTGCACACAATGATCCCTTCAAGTTTGTGACGTAGAAAGTGGATTATCAAAGTGAGTGGTTGCCTTTCAAAACATACATAAAAAAGTACATACTCTTTTTGCCACGTACAAAGTATAAAATCTGTAGAACAAATTAAAAGCTCCATTATTTATGTGTTTTTGAAGTCAATTGTGGTATTTTTCCTCTGGGTAAACTAAAATGATATCGCCTCTACACAAGTTGTTTCGTGTGAAATGGTGTGTGACTTTGAGGTCTACTCACAACAAGTCAAGAACACCAATTAATAAATAATGGGTTCTTGATATGTATATAATACATCCAATTAATTAGAGTCTATAGACTTTTTGTTTGTCAAAGGAGGGCACAATATGTTTCATACTTTACTATACTTATACTGATTATTTCATATTTTATATTCAGGAAACAGTAGATAATCTCTAAAATTTCATTGATGTTTTGCTTTATGCTCATGTAATATTAAGGATATCAAAACCAATATAAATTTCAACACACATGTAAAGGAATCTATTTCTTGTATCATTCAAAAGGAGACATTCAAAATACAAATTTGAACGTAATGCACAAGAGACAGACCGTGACTAACAAGTCAAGCACGCCAATTACTTTGTTTCTTTGACGTCTTCTCAGCTAACGTTTTTTGTGGGTAATCTTAATCCACAACCTATTAAATTTAATTATATTTATACAAACTAAACCAACCTTAATTTTGTTAGGATACTATCCTTCAGTATAATTTTTCAAATTGTTTTAAAAAAATTGCACACAATGATCCCTTCAAGTTTGTGACGTAGAAAGTGGATTATCAAAGTGAGTGGTTGCCTTTCAAAACATACATAAAAAAGTACATACTCTTTTTGCCACGTACAAAGTATAAAATCTGTAGAACAAATTAAAAGCTCCATTATTTATGTGTTTTTGAAGTCAATTGTGGTATTTTTCCTCTGGGTAAACTAAAATGATATCGCCTCTACACAAGTTGTTTCGTGTGAAATGGTGTGTGACTTTGAGGTCTACTCACAACAAGTCAAGAACACCAATTAATAAATAATGGGTTCTTGATATGTATATAATACATCCAATTAATTAGAGTCTATAGACTTTTTTGTTTGTCAAAGGAGGGCACAATATGTTTCATACTTTACTATACTTATACTGATTATTTCATATTTTATATTCAGGAAACAGTAGATAATCTCTAAAATTTCATTGATGTTTTGCTTTATGCTCATGTAATATTAAGGATATCAAAACCAATATAAATTTCAACACACATGTAAAGGAATCTATTTCTTGTATCATTCAAAAGGAGACATTCAAAATACAAATTTGAACGTAATGCACAAGAGACAGACCGTGACTAACAAGTCAAGCACGCCAATTACTTTGTTTCTTTGACGTCTTCTCAGCTAACGTTTTTTGTGGGTAATCTTAATCCACAACCTATTAAATTTAATTATATTTATACAAACTAAACCAACCTTAATTTTGTTAGGATACTATCCTTCAGTATAATTTTTCAAATTGTTTTAAAAAAATTGCACACAATGATCCCTTCAAGTTTGTGACGTAGAAAGTGGATTATCAAAGTGAGTGGTTGCCTTTCAAAACATACATAAAAAAGTACATACTCTTTTTGCCACGTACAAAGTATAAAATCTGTAGAACAAATTAAAAGCTCCATTATTTATGTGTTTTTGAAGTCAATTGTGGTATTTTTCCTCTGGGTAAACTAAAATGATATCGCCTCTACACAAGTTGTTTCGTGTGAAATGGTGTGTGACTTTGAGGTCTACTCACAACAAGTCAAGAACACCAATTAATAAATAATGGGTTCTTGATATGTATATAATACATCCAATTAATTAGAGTCTATAGACTTTTTTGTTTGTCAAAGGAGGGCACAATATGTTTCATACTTTACTATACTTATACTGATTATTTCATATTTTATATTCAGGAAACAGTAGATAATCTCTAAAATTTCATTGATGTTTTGCTTTATGCTCATGTAATATTAAGGATATCAAAACCAATATAAATTTCAACACACATGTAAAGGAATCTATTTCTTGTATCATTCAAAAGGAGACATTCAAAATACAAATTTGAACGTAATGCACAAGAGACAGACCGTGACTAACAAGTCAAGCACGCCAATTACTTTGTTTCTTTGACGTCTTCTCAGCTAACGTTTTTTGTGGGTAATCTTAATCCACAACCTATTAAATTTAATTATATTTATACAAACTAAACCAACCTTAATTTTGTTAGGATACTATCCTTCAGTATAATTTTTCAAATTGTTTTAAAAAAATTGCACACAATGATCCCTTCAAGTTTGTGACGTAGAAAGTGGATTATCAAAGTGAGTGGTTGCCTTTCAAAACATACATAAAAAAGTACATACTCTTTTTGCCACGTACAAAGTATAAAATCTGTAGAACAAATTAAAAGCTCCATTATTTATGTGTTTTTGAAGTCAATTGTGGTATTTTTCCTCTGGGTAAACTAAAATGATATCGCCTCTACACAAGTTGTTTCGTGTGAAATGGTGTGTGACTTTGAGGTCTACTCACAAGTCAAGAACACCAATTAATAAATAATGGGTTCTTGATATGTATATAATACATCCAATTAATTAGAGTCTATAGACTTTTTTGTTTGTCAAAGGCGGGCACAATATGTCCCCACTAGCTACTTTCTCCATAAATGGCCTACAAGACCGACCATAAATGAAAATAAAGGGCAAAGGTTCCTTTCGTTGTGATTTTTTTTAAAAATTTTTTAAGCTTTAAATTTAATATTTTATAAAATTACTATTATAATATTTTCCAAATTAAATTTTCTTTGATTTTGTCAATACTGAAGTTAATTAAGTTAAATTTCATTTAATTACATAATCATCAATTCGATTCAAAATTATGAAAATAAAAAGGCTAGAAAGATAAACACACAGTAAAAAGATATGTCCACAACAAAAAGTATATCCCGACATGGAAAGAAGAACAAATAAATATGATATCTTTATAGTTAAATTTAAAACATTGAGAACGATTAATACATTACGACATCAAATCTATAAAAAGGTACATCTAAAAATATTAATAATAATTATTAAACCACAGAAATAATTTTTGCAATTTTTTTATCTCCCAGAAAATGAAAAATAATTATAATAAAATGTAGCTATATAATTTGGGAAAAATGAAGTTTATTTTGGAATAACTGGAGAAATCTTTTGGATATAACTTATATAATAGATATCTCCATAATTTCACGAGAAAATTTCTAAAACTTTTGGATTTAATTTTTATCTTTATTTACTTTTCAATGTACTTACATTTTCTTATATCTTTATTTTCTTTTATTTTTCTTTTTTGGGTTATGATAATTTAATCAAGGAACAATGAGACGTTAAAATATATGCATTTACGGAATTTTCATCCGCTCCAGAGGAACAATAATGCGTTTTGTTAGCTTGACTTGACTTGATTCAGAATCGGAGAAGTATAAAATGATGTGTGTGTTAGTTCCTGGTTGCGCAAGATCTGATGAGTTTGATATGATCAATATGGGAAAACCTTCCTCCTTTGTCTTCCTCATCATCTTGCTTCTTTGCTTTACAGTCACCTTAGCTTCCATTCATACAAACATCAATACTGACAAATTTGCACTTCTTAATCTTAAGTCCTTTATCACCTCTGATCCATATGATTTTTTAGCTAATTGGTCTGTCTCTTCTAGTCCATGCAGCTGGGCTGGTATCACATGCAATAATCGGCATGGAAGGGTCCATTCTGTGAATCTTAGCAGCATGGAACTTAAGGGCACCATATCTCCACAACTAGGAAATCTCTCATTCCTTGTTGAACTTGATCTCAATGAAAACAACTTTCATGGTCAGATCCCACAAGACTTGGTTCGATTACGTCGATTGAGACTACTCAATTTGAGCTATAATGACTTTCATGGACAAGTTCCAACATGGATAGGAGATTTAACTATGCTTGAGCACTTAAGTTTTCAAAATAACAGTCTCAACGGATTTATTCCATTATCTCTGTTCAATCTATCAAGGTTAGAGACTTTAGATTGGAATTCCAATCTCATTGAAGGTACCATTCCACCAGAGATAGGAAGTCTAAAGCACTTGAAGAAGTTACAACTTTCAAGGAACAAACTTTCAGGAGCAATTCCCCAAACAGTTTCCAACTTGTCTTCGCTTGAGTTGCTTTGGTTGTCTCATAATAATTTGTCAGGTATGTTCATGCTTGTGTTTGTTCAAAACTAGTCTATTTAATTATGAGGATATAAATCCTCAATCATCATGTGCTTGGGTTAGTCCCAATTTTTTTGGGTCTTTGCGCATTTCTAATCAGTTTTTGTTTTTTTAAAAATATAGTCATCGATATTCTTTTCAATAAATCACGAATTAGAACTGAAGTAGATAGAATATTTGTACTCAAAATTTGTTTCACTGGAATAGAAATAAATTTGAACTGAGATTTTGTTCTCGATCATTTAGTTCATGTTATAAGTTTCACACACATGTAAAGGTAGGGTCATAACTTGCCTAAAATTAAAATCTTCAAAAATCGGTAAAATACTGAATCATTAAACAAGAAGCCCCATAAAAAATAACCTGATAAGGATGATAAAAAGGGTTATCCGGGATTTCAATGCTTTTTCTAGCTTCTAATTTTTCATTTTCCCCTATATTTTCTTTTTAATTGCAAGTGTTTTTAATTTTTCTTTTCCAATATAGAGACAATCCAGTCGAATTTGTCAATGAGTCTCACATCGATCTAGGGGAAAAAAACAACATGCTGAAAAATAATTTTTATATATATATATATATATATATATCATTCAAGGGTAGTGGCTCTTTTAAAATGATTAAGATGATGATTCAATGCTCTGAAAATGATTTTAGATAAATAATCTTAGCAGTATTAACAAATTAACTCAGCCTCGATACTAAGGGCCACAACAAGACATTAAAAGGGTGGAGTACTTTTGAGTTTCATTAATGATATCTTATCTCTTTATCTGTTTATATATAAATATATATTTAGGAATATTTATTTTTATAATTCTGCAAGGCGAGCCATGAAAAAAAAAAATCTAGCTTTTGTTTTTCTCTTGTTAACTAGACAGAGACAAACATTACTGTACTGATAAATCTGCACTTTTTACTCTTAAATCTTCTATCACTTCAGATCCAAACAACTCCTTAGCTTATCTTTCTTTTAACAGTTTATTAGGTATTTTCAGAGAAATCCAGGCTTGTCTCAATTGTTTTTTTTTTTTTTTTAAATTTTTGTATTTTTTTTATTTTTTCAGAATTTTTCTATTCTTTTTTTAATTAAAAATTCGTCATCCAATTTTTAAAATGGTTGGGGAAAAGAATATTAGTCCAAAAGGATCTAAAGGCTCATCATCAATCTTTGAAAATAAATGTAGACATTAAAAAGTTTATGAAGGATTTATTTTTTTCAAAATGACTAAGTCTTAGAAGAAACATACTCGAAACATTTAATTTTGTTTTGGATAATCTAAATTAATAATTTTATTTTTTTAAAATTTTTTTAGTTTGCAAGACCTATTTTTCTGGGAGTCTCATGATGAAAAGTAAGGGTCAATTGGATTTTGATGTGTCTCTTAGTTTGTTTCTTTAATTTTCATTGAAGGAACTCAATCTAAATTAACGAATCCACAAAATCTAAAAAGATCACAATGATAAACAATCTAAATCACAGAATAACAAACTGAAGGGAAGCAGAAAACACAGTGTAATGGGCCTTGTGGAATAGCCCATTATGTTGTCCGACATTAGGCCATCCAAATTTCTCAACAAATCACATGTCCAAATTATTTGGTCTATGGTCAATGGCCCAACCAAATTGAAAGTGTTATTATTTCTTTTTGAAACCAGCAGAGGTTGAGTCTAACAGAAGGAGTTAGTCATTCACAACATAACAAACCAAAACTCGAATCCCTATTGGGAGAGGTGCCCACATGTAGTGCTTGACGGTGCTTTGAATAGGATGCTTCCAATAGAAGGATACCTATGCTTTAGCAAAAAAGAAAATGATAATTGTATTTGTGTTTTACCATTTAGAATAAATTCGTGTTATTTCTCAAAAATATGCAAGACTTACTATATGCGTTTTGAAAAATACAAATGTGTCTGTTTTTTTATAATAATTGATTATAAGTAAAAAATTATTACTGACATCATTCTGTCTCTCTTTTTTTTATTTGCCATCTAATATTTGAAGGGAGCATCCCAAATGAGATTGGGGATCTTTCACAACTGAAGAAATTGTATCTTGGAAATAATGAACTTGTGGGTTCTATACCATCTTCATTATTTAACAGTTCAATGCTACAAGACTTCCAACTTGGAGTAAATAACTTATCTGGAAGTCTCCCAATAAATGTGTGTGTTGGGCTTCCAAAGCTACAAATATTTTTTGTGGATGGAAATGATTTGTCTGGCAAAATACCCTCCACTTGGCATCAATGCACAGAATTATTAAAATTACAATTGGGGTATAACAAATTCAACGGAGGAAACATACCAATTAACATCGGAAATCTGACCAACCTCCGGAGGCTATATCTTTCCGACAGCAACTTGCAAGGTAAGAGTTTTAATTATTATATGATTGTCTTAAATTTGATAAGTCAAGAATTTGCGTTACAAATTTAATGAATAATACTTTTGTTAGATTAATTTTAAAGACATGGAACTTGATTCTTTTATGTCAACATTTGAAATGAAATATTAAATCATTGAAAAATAAACTAGTCAGCATTTGTGTCTTTCATATATGTTCTTATGATATGTAAAGGGAATATATCTTAAAAAATTAGAAAAATAGTATCTACTAATACTATAAAATGATAAAACATTATAAATAGTATAAAAGTGGAATCTTATATGTAATCTTATACGTAATATGCTTGTTCTATAATGTTTGCAAAATGTTTTAGCTGAAATTGCTTTAAGAGTGGTGAAGATTATAGTATACATGATATGTTTTACACAATCCATTTTTCTTAACTAATTTGCATCAGGAAAAATTATGTTGTTGTACACTGGGTTTAAAAAACTTAAATGCAAAAGATAAATAATTTGGTTGTTTGTTTTAAATAAGTGAAATTAATTGCATAATTTGCCTCTAACATTTCTTCTTTACAAGAATTTTTAATTTCCAATTGTTCTTTGATATTAGAAAAGTCCCTTTTAAATTGCTTTCCAATAAAAACTAAATTATTTCCTAATAATTTTAAGCCTCTAATTAACACAACTCCATGTATTATTTATAGATAATTTGCCAACAAAAACTAAATTATTTTCTATTATTTACATATATTATTTAGATGGCTGTGTGCAGCACATGATTTATTGGCAGTTAAACTTAACAGAGTCGCATGCAATTTCGTGGTTATAAGAAGTTTGCTTTCTCCATTTCTAATATTAGCAAGACATGTTTAGTTTTTTTTTTTGGCGAAAAAACTTAGGTCATTGCTCATATCCATTATGTCAAGTTCTCCAATCACACATAGTCATGTGTCCTTTTTTGTTTCATGTGGATGTATAATTAAATGCTATTAAATCCAAATATTTCAAAAATGAGATATATGGTCATGTGTGATTAGAGAAATTAAGATAATAGATATAAGCAACTTGATATAAGTATTGTCATTTTTTTTTTGTTAAATTGTATATGTGTATTATTATATGCAAATATTATGACCTGTTTTATTTTTATTTTAACAAGTCCTTTCAATTCAATATTTTTACAAGCATTTATTGCTAATCAATTATATTTGCATGCCAACCTCTTCACAAGCAATGAGATTATGAAATCTTACTTTTATTGTTTTGTTTTTTTAATCATTTTCTCTAGTAGAGTGGATTTAAAATGAGACTTTGTTTTCTATCATTTTATTAATACTACTATTGTATTTACATATGCATATCCATATGGGGATTAAATATAAATAGTAATTTACAATCCCAAAATATTAAAAGATCATTTTATTAATATTGTATTACTTGAAATTCCTTTGTTATAATTAAGGCGAGTTCTTGACTTATTTTTAGACATGCCAGAGTTAGTAATATATGAAAATTTCTGTACGGTAGGATAAGTTTAATACTAAAAAAAAAAACTGAAAACAGAAAAGTTTGAAGTGGTGTTTTTTCTTAGTTATTACATTAAACAAGAAATTTATTTAAATAAACTAAGTATAAAATATCAATTATGAATAATCATAAAGAATTCAATTTAAAAATTCAAATGCAATAATTTAATAAACACTAGTTCATATGTTTAGTTCAACTATATTTTAAGTCATTCATATTGAAGTGAAAATATTCAGCACCTTCAATTAATAATAATTATTTTCAACATAAAACTTTCCACTCATAATTTCCTAATAATTATTTTATTTTAAAATTAAAAGAAGTATGAAAATTAATGTTTATCCATGGATCAATCAGTATAGCACAAATGTTCAAGTTTTTGAAATTAGTATGCCAGAACCATGAATTTTTTTTTATTTCCATTACCTGTATATATTTTATGTGCGAACAATATTATCTGCCTTATTTTCTTTTTAAAGTTCTTAAAGTTATAAAACTTTTAGTACCTATCAGTGTTATATTATATATGTACTTTATGCATTATTATACAAAAGTATTATGAAGTGTTTTATTTTTATATTTAATAAATATATGCCAACTTTTTTACAAGCATTGAGATTATTATTTCTTTTTTTAACATTATTCTATAATAAAATAAATTTAAAATGAGATTTTATCTTTTATTTTCATTAATATTTGACATATTCATGGTGGAGGCTTAAATATAGGTAGTGATTTACAATAACACAATAACAATGATTGTCTTCTTCTTTTTTCCTTTTTAGATATTTTCATTCATTCATGTTGTTCATTCCTAGGATTTGACTTATATTAAGCTTGGTATTATAATGCCAAAATATATAAAAGGTAAGATCATGAACTGATGGGACCACTTGATATATTTAAAATGTGAAAAACAATTTTTTTTTAATTTTAGTCTTAATCTACCACATCATTAATATACTTTGATCAATAAAATGACTTCGCCATATATAACTTGTCCAGGAATCATTCCAAGTGAGTTTGGAAATTTGACAAACCTCCAAGCCCTTGAGCTTGGCGAGAACATTTTGCAAGGTAAGAATTCTAATTATATGATTGTCTTAGACTGTGTGTGTGATTTTGTTTTTGTTTTTATCTCTCAAATGAAAAATAATTTTATTCTTTTTTTTAAAATCATTTTCTCGAATAGAATAAAGTTAAAATGAGATTTTGTTTTCCATCATTTTATTAATATTGTATATACATATACATATCCATGACAGGGTTTAAAAAGAAATAGTAATTTACAATCCCAAAATATTAAAAGATCAAATTATGAATTGATGGTAAAATTACTTCCAGAAAGTTAATCCAAATACTTCTTGGTTTTGGTCATTTCATTCATTCATGCAATCCCAAAATAACAGAAAGATAGGATCATGACTTCATGAGCGAAGCTGATGGGCCCACTCCAAAAGCAAATTCTTTTTAGAGAAAATGGACATGATAGTGCTTAGAATTTTATCAAATTTTAAATTTTAAGTTGACGTCATCCATCTTCTCTCTCCTCTCTCAGCTTCCCTCTCTCCTCTCTCAGCATTGCTCGAGTCAATGTCGGCGAGACACCCTATGTTATCCTCAAGCCCATGAGCGCCTTACCTATCTCTTATCCGTCTCTTCAATTCTCAACCATTCCGCCCATTCACCATCTTCATCCTCAGTTTTCCCCAATCCCTTCCCGGAATCGACCTTCAATCCATTCTATAAACCAACTGTTTGGATTATGAACGTGGACTTTCCAATTAAAATATTTGAAAATGTTTTTGTACGGTGGGATAAATTTATTTGATACTAAAGACAAAAAAGTTTGCAGTTGTGCTTATCCTTATTTATTACAATAAACAAGAAATTTATTTAAATAAACTAAGCATAAAATATCAATTGTGAATAATTATAAAGAATTCAATTTAAAAATTTAAATGCAATAATTCAATAGAAACTAGTCAACCATAGCTGAGCTCGAGCTAGTTTAGAAGAAAAGGTTAAAAAAAAAAAAGAGAATGCGAGATTTTTTTTTTTGGTGAATAAAGGATAAACTAATCAGAAACAAAATACAACCGAGAATGCTAATCTAGTCGAACTCGTCTTGGAGTTCCCATAACCAGTAGATCCTTGTGTAGTTGCTCCTCCAATACTGTTGGAGGTATTACCCAAGATCTTTTCCCTTGAGTCTGAAATGAAAGAAAGCTTGATGCTCCATTTTGTCTACACAAGCATTTGCTTCTCTGTGTATAGCTTTGAACCTCAGTTGCCATTCTCTTCCCAATAACTCTCTTACTTCCTTCATTAATCCATTATATTCCTCTAGCGTATGCTCCTTCTGAATTTCTTCTACCACCATCCGAACGTCGCTTTCCACTACTACACGTTTAAGTCCTAATTCCCAGCAAGTCTTCGGTCCCTCCAGAATTCTCGACATTTCTGCCATTTCTGATCCACATTCTCCTAGTTTTATAGAGAAGCCATGCAGCATTCCCCTTGACTCCCTCTGCCTCCACACGCTGCTCTGCCATTTTGTTGTCTTGCACCATCTGTATTTAACTTGCACCAGCCTTGCGTAGGGATCTTCGAGTTAATCATGACTGTCTCTTCCTTTCCTCCCTCCATCCTCATTAAAGTTCCTTTAACATGGTAGTGTTTCAGGTATTGTTTCATTAAATCTGCAGCGTTCTATGGGATTTTAAAGTTCCCATCATGGACCTTTGTGTTCCTCCACTTCCAAAACAACCAGCAGCAAACTGTTCAGGCCAGTCCAGTCCCATTTCTATTTGTGCAGTGCAACGTATATTATTTTTTATCCATTTGTCCTCGGTAGCATTAAAAAATTCCTCCTGTTGTTCCAATGGCATAAACCGCCTCTAAAGCAGTTGGACTTGATAGCAATCCCTCAATGCATGGATCTACGTTTCACTCTCATATTCACAGATCAAGCATTTTCCTTGTTCTCCTCTCCATTTGCTAGTTCTTTGTTTTGTCAAGAGCCTATTATGTTGTATTTGCCACATGAAGCACCGAGTCCTCTCAGGTACTCTCAGCCTCCAAATTTTCTTCCAACTTCGTTGCGTCATAATAGAAGCGTTTCCTTGCAACCATTTATAGGTGCAGTGTGTTGAAAAATGTCCATTCCACAAGCATAGCCATTTGGGGTAATCTTGACCTCTATTCTCATTGGGGGGGGGCCATAACTTGAATCTTTGGTATTATTGCAGGATGTACCATGATTTCTAAATATTGCAGGTTCCAGTTTCCATCCTCTCTTATTAAATCCCTCACTTTCAGGCTTTTATCAGTTCCCCCTACATTCCCCACCCACTTGATCAATTTTCCTTCACAGGGAATCCATCTGTCAAACCAAACACTCGTTTGATTCCCACTTCTTATTGTCATTTCTAAGTTTTCTCTAAACGTCTCCTCCAGTTTTGCTAATTCCTTCCACAGATGAGAGTCGCTTGTCTTAGTTGTAATTTTTCGCTCTTCTTGTTCCTTTCTCTCATACTTCCCTCTTAGTACTCGTACCCACGGATCCTCTGGTGGGTTCTGTATTTTCCATAACAGTTTTAGGAGGAAGGAGTCACTCATAATTTTCAAAGATTGAATCCCCATTCCTCCTTCTTCCTTTGCCTTAAACATTTGTTCCCATCCTATAGCATACCATTTCTTCTTGCCCCCTTGTTCTCCCCATATGAATTTCCTCTACTCCTACTTGAGTTCTTCAATGACTCCTTGTGGGATGCGATCGTGTTGCATTGGATAGAGAGCCATTGAACTCGTCACGGATCTCACCAAGGTAATCCTGCTAGCCATAGAAAGATTTGAAGCTTTCCATATGCTTAATCTCTTCCTCACCCTTTCAACCACATTTTTATATTCCTTCTATAATGTGGGAATGAAATTTCTGCCCCTAAATATTTGCCCAGGTCTTCCACTTCTTTAAATTGGCTGATTCTATAAATTTCCCTTCTAGTATGCCGTGAAACATTAGGTGCAAAGTATATTTGAGTTTTCTTGTTGCTCACTCTATGCCCTAATATCCTTCCAAACACTTGCAAGCATCTCATAATTGTTTTCATTTGGTTAGTCTCCACCTCTGTAAAAAAAACAAGATTATCAGCAAACATCATATGGGTTATTATTGGACCTTTCTGTCCCGCTCTCATTCCTCTCCATTTTTTCTCACTATGGGTGTCAACAATGAGGTGTGTAAGTTTTTCCATGCCAAAAACAAAGAGGTATGACGAGAGAGGATCTCCTCGTCTGGATCCTCGAGAAGGAGTGAACTCTTCTAGTTTTTCACCATGCCATAGTACTCTCATAGAGGTCATGTTTATGCATCTCACTATTCTACTCTTCATTTTTGCTGAACAATTTATCTCATTCAGAACATTTTCCATGAAATGCCAACTTATCCTGTTATAGGCCTTCTCAAGATTAATTTTTATTGCCATGAATCCTTTCTTCCCTTTTTGTCTTCTCGTGGAATGTATCATTTCATTCACTATGATAATGTTGTCACGAATGTTTTGCCTTGGTACAAAGCTCACTTGGTGAGGAGAAACCAAATTTGGCTTGAGGTTTTTGAGCCTTTTTACCATAATCTTCATAATGCACTTGTAAGTCACATTACAAACTGAGATAGGTCTGAATTAGTTCACTTTTTCTAGTGCATTAAGCTTCAAGATCAGGGATACTTATGTCTTATTCATCTCTCTGATCTTTTCAAGTTCAGTCTATGCCTCCTTAATGAAGTTGCACACACAGCTTCCCACAATCTCCCAATTTTGTTGAAAGAGAATAGTCGGATACCTATCTTCACCCGGAGCTTTAAATCTCCCAATTGAAAACATTGCTTCCTTAATTTCCTCATCCTACACCAGTCCCTCCAATTCTTCTTTCTCTTCTTCTTTGATACTTTCCCATCTGTGCTTTAACAAATGAACATGATTCTTCCTTCTTCTAATGGTTGTTTTAGCATGATAAAATGAGGTGTTTCGGTCCCCATCGTTGATCCATCTTGTGCGGGCTTTTTAGAACCATAACAACTCCTCTCTTGCTAATATTTCGGTAGTTCATCTCTCAATTGGTAATCTGGATCCTCCAAATATCTACTTCGCTATTTTTGAAGGAACCACTGGATCCCGTCAATTCTCCTCGTCAACTCTTTCTTTTTCCTCCCTATATGCCTAAACACAAACTTATTCCACTCTTTCAGTCTGAGTTCTAATTCTTGCAAAGTTTATCGTACTTCTCCTATCCTCTCCCAAGTTGTTACTAGTAGCTTTTTAAACTCAGAATGCTGCAACCAAACTACCTCAAACCTGAAGGGTCTTGCCTCCTTTGAACCCTTAACCACAGAAAGGTGGATCAATAGTGGATGGTGGTCTGATTGAATTTGTGACCCAACCTACATACGAGCTTCGTTAAAGGATTTCCTCCACTCAACATTACAAAGGGCCCTATCTAATCTCTTATACATTCTTCTCGTATGATTAATAATTGGCCCCCTCCAGGTGTATTTAGGTCCTCTGACCCTACTTCAATCAGGTTATAAGCTTCTATATTCTTGTTGAACCTTTTACATTATTTATTGCGGTTCACATTTCTCCCTCCGCTATTCCTCCTTTGATCTTATGTCATTAAAATGACTTACCAAAAGCTAAGGAATGGACATGGTTTGAGACATCTCCTTCAACTCCTCCTAAAGACTTTTCCTCTTTATCACTCGTGGACTGGCATAAACAGCTGTAAACATCCAAAGCCTATTCCCCTATCCCTGAATCAAGCAGTGAATATATTGTTTATTACTCCTTAGTGTGGAAATTTTAATTTCTTCTTCATCCCCAAGGATCTATATGCCACCAAACATTCCACACGCCTCCTTAATTAATTGGTTTTTGAAGCCCAAGTGTTTTATCACTTTTTGGGCTTTTTCTCCACCACACCTAGTTTCCACACAAGCACTACATTTTTTGGCTTATATCTCCTTTTCTATTTTTTCAGAGCATACCCGGAGTCTCTACCAGCTACTCCCCTCACATTCCAAGTAATTATCATAAATAAATCTTCACAACAATAAAACACTTCCCAATGAATCAATTAGTACCTGATAGCCAAAGCCAAGTTTGACTGGCCAGTCTTCCCTTTATGAGTGCTGCAATCATTGTGTTTTAGTTCCATATCATGTTGTCTAACCATATACTCCACTTCTGACAGGCCCACCCACTCACCTCCTTTATCAGAATCTGGTGGCTTATCTTCATCCACTTCTATTATCGCACTCAAATGGTTCGATAAACTATGAAGAAAGTGTTCCACAATGTTCTCCTATAGTCTTGGTCTATTAAATCCCCCTTCATCATTAATTATTTCTTAGCCCATAGTTAATTGTTCTACTCCTTCCATCTCAACACTCTCTGCCTTCTCCCTTAGCCCACTAAGCCTACGTTTGTCTTGACCCACATTTCTCTTTTCTCCTATGTCCTCTCATTCTTTCTCTATCTGGCCCACTCTGCTTGTCCCCACAGATTGAATTTTCCTGACATTCTTCTCTTCCGCTTTCCTGATGTCCTTTCCCTCCTCAGTAGGTGTCTCTCCCTTTCTCTCCCCTTTTCCATTCTACACCTTTCTTATCAACTTTTCCTCTCCTTTTTTCTTGTTTTATGCACCTTTACTTCTCTCCCCCTATTCCTTCTCCTTATTTGATAGGTCTCTCAAAGGCTTTCTTTGTCGTGTTTCTTGCACTTCCTCTTCCATTCTCTCCCCCTCTACACTTAGACCCTAAAGCGTGAGCTCACTCCTATATTGGACCTTGGTTGTCCACTTTTCTGCTATACTTCTGCGACTTTTTTCTCTTTGTTCAGGGGTCTTCTCCCTTTCCTCGGATTTTGAGCAACCATCCACTCCCCATACATCGCCTCTGACTTTTCCATCACCTTTTCGCTAACTTCGGCTTCCTCCTTCTCACTGTTTCTCATCGGATTTTTCCCATTGTCTTGGTTACCTTCCTTTGTTCTCTTTAAACGGGTAGTGCTCCATTTCATAGCCAAATTTGCCACAATTGAAACAGATTAATTGTAGGCCTTCATATTCAATTTTTAGCTCATTCTCATCTATTGAATAAGAAGGCATCAGAGGGGCTTCTAGATCCACCTAGACACATATCCTTGCATACATTGTTCTGGCTCTTGTTAGAGTCATTTCATCAACTCTGATGGCCTTCCCAATCTTGTTCCCTAAATGGTAGAAAAACTTTCTATCATATTAGTCACCTGGAAGACCTGGGAGTCTTACCCACACAGCTACCCAGTTCAACTTCTCCTTCCATGGGTTAAAGTTTCGCTTCCATGTTTGCACAATGAGATACTGGTTTGATATCAGCCAAGGGCCCCCTTCCAGAGCATAGTAAAAGTCATCGAGCTCCTTGAAGGTAGCCAGCATATATTCATTACCAATGTCATTGAGCTCCACTAAACTAGTCTTGCTCTAGAGGGCTTGTACTTTCCTTCTTAGCTACATGAATCCCATGGGTTCCCCCGCAAGCTTCACAATGAGTGTGTTTTCCCATTTCCTTTCCAGTCTTCATTTCTCTTGTTCTATAGATTCTATTCTTGGTTTTTTTTTTTCCATATCTGTGATAGTAACTCTTTGCTTAAGTCATCATCCGGACCAATAAGCAAGCTCCCATCCCAGGGTTCCTCTTCTCAATGTTTCTCTGAGCGTTCCTTCCCTCCATCCACCTTAGGTTTTAGTATATCTCTATACGAGACTTGTTTAGGTTGCTCTTGTTCTATTGCCGAGACCTCTGGTAGCATCCATTCCTCTTCCCTTAGCTTTAGTGAGATTTCTCCCATAAACATTCCCTGGTTTTTGGCCACTTTACCTCTTGACTCCGCTCTATTTTGCTCTTCCATCACCATATTCCTTTCTGGGTTACCAGTCAAAGCCATCCTCTCTTCCTTGTTCTCGTTTGTTCTCGGGTCGTGCTTATTCCCCTGTTCACTTCCCCCACCACCATCACTAGGACAATTGGGGGGTTGTTTCTGGGATGAGTTCTTGTTAGAAATCATGGGAACACCTCAAACTTTCTCTCACTAACTTTCTCTCTCTAGATACTTCTCTCTACGGTGAGCTGATACTTTTGGCGAATGCGAGATGTTTTAAATAGTCTGATAAATAATTAAATTGTATTAATTTAAGTCATTCATATTGAAGTGGAACTATTTAGTTTGTTCAATTCTTTATAAAATTAGCTAAATCTTTTCAACAAAAAAATCCACTAATAATTTCTTAATAATTATTTTACTTTGAAATTTAAAAGTAGTATGAAAAACCAACATCAGGGAGAAAGCAGGTGGAATTACATAAAACAATGCGGGCTCATTAAACATTATGTGAAACTTTTTCGTTCAGCAAAGTATACTTAATAATTTCTCACTAAAACTGCACCCAAAAACAAAAAACAAAAAAATTCCTTCATGCAGAGATAAATTGCTGAAAAAGTAGTCTAATGCTTTATGCCATACATGATTAATTGGCAATGCATAAAAGTTATATATTTAAACTTAATGTACTCATTTGCAATATTAAAAGGTAAGAAATTTGAGACGAAATTTGCCTTTTCCCTTTTTAATATTTATGCATGAATTCCTGAGTATAGCACACATGTTCAAGTTTTTGAAATTAGTACGTAAGACACGTGAAGTTTCTTTATTATTTATGTATATTATATGCAAACAATATTACAATGCCAAAATAAAGAAAAGGTAATAAGATCATGGACTGATGGGACCACTTGATATCTACCACATCAATTGTATACTTTGATCAATAAAATGGCTTCATAATACTTTGTCCAGGAGTCATTCCAAGTGAGATTGGAAATTTGACAAACCTTGAAATCCTTATTCTTCGCGACAACAATTTGCAAGGTAAAGATTTTAATTATATGATTGTCTTTAGACCACGTTGTGTGTTTTTGTTTTTGTTTTCATATCTCGAATAAAACAATAATTTTAAAATGAGATTTTGTTTTTGATTTTTTTCATTCATGTTAAAAAATCATAAGAAGCTAACTAAGTTTGCATTCATAATAGAAATCCTTGAAAAGAGGAATAAAATATAATTTCAGACATTAAAAAACTAACGAAGCCCTGCAAAACCAGTCCGGAAAAACTTTATGGATTATCAAAATGTCTTTAAAAAGAGAAATAAAATATAATTTTAAAAAGGACTTGTATTTTAAAAGATTTTATGATGCTTCCAATTCTCTGATCAACATTTATATCACTCGTATCTTATCCACTTCTACATTGAAACTGGTGAAATTCCATTCTTAATTATTTTATGCTCTATCTCCAAAATGTGTAAATAAAAGTATCTTAATTTCTTAAAGAAAAACTAAAATTTCAGCCCTTTTTTGGCCTATGATGAATTCTCAAATTTTAAAGTTAGAGCCTTTTCAAATGCTTTGGATGTTCATTTCAGATAAGGTGAGATTAATTCCATAGTCTATGATCTTCAACAATTCTTCTTTGAAAGAAATTTAATGTCCAACAAAAACTAAATTATTTTCTATTCATTTTAAGCACCTAATTACCAAAATTCCATGTAGTATTTATATGCTCGTGTACTTGTGAATTTATTAGTAACATGCTTGCCATACTACCAAATAATTAACAAATATTTTGTATTTATTTATAGGTGAAATTCCTTCATCTCTGTGGAACATGCCTTCTTTAACACTTGTTAACTTTGGCAACAATCATTTAACGGGTAATTTGTCAAAAGAAATGTGTCATCAACTCTCTATGCTTGAAGTCCTTGATGTTCACAGCAATCAATTAGAGGGAAGCATTTCACAATCAATAAGCAACTGCACATCTTTAAAAGAATTATTTTTGGATATTAACTCATTTACAGGTATGCGCCTACTTATATGTTTTCTTTTCTATTTAATATTTTTTTCTAAAATGAGATTTTGCTTTTATCTGAAATCCCAATCATGAACAGATGGACATACATACTTATTATATGCCAGTACTTTTGTTTTTTTTGTTTTAAGATCTTATCTGTTTCCTAGCAACTTTAATTTTATTTTATTCCCTTTCTATTGTAGAGTTCATTTTTTTCATCCCTTATGCTTCTTTTTCAATTTTTTATTTTTCAAATTCGTTCATTTCAAATTAAATGCTTATTCATTAATTACAGTGCAAAACTTTTATTTTTCAAAAGAAATACTAGTCATTCTACCTTAATTATAATTTATGATTTTCTTAATTTTTTCATTTACAATTTTTTACAAAGACTTCCACTTCACCTTAATTATAATTTATGATTTTCTTAATTTCTGTATGATATTTGATAATTTCTTAATTCTACACACACAAAAACACACGGTAACAACTCCATCATTTAAATAAGATTAAAATTATATTGATGTTTTTCTTAAAAAATCGCAGCATATGAATTAAAAATTTGAAATAAACCAAATATTTTTTTAAAATAGATAGAAAAATCAATTACAATTTATAATACAGAAATCAAATAAAAATTAAAATATAACTCAAACTGATGAAGAATAATATCAGATATTTTAATTGTTCAACAAATAGAAGAACTGTTCTGCACATTGTGAAATTAAACAAATCTTTCCAAGTTAAAGTTTTTCACATAATACTTGCCGAACAAGTAGTTTAATGCCATAGGCAACACATAATTTATTGGCCATGCGCAAAAAACTAAAAGCAGAAGCCAAAGCGCACACTGAAAGAAAAAAAAAAAAATCTTAGCGGTTACAACCTAACACACAACTTACCAAAGAAAGCATGCACTCAAAATGACCAATACCGGTCTTAATAAAGAACAACAAGCAACTAGTAATTAGCCAATACCGGTCTTAGCCAAAGAGTAGTAATTAGAAAGCTCAAGATCATGCTGCAGAACATGAAATAGAAAGAGGGTGGTGGTTCAGAAAACCATCCTTGTGGCACTTCTTTCAAAACCTCTGCTGCAAACAATCAACAGCTCTATTGCCCTTGCGACAAACCAAAGACAAAGACCAATTCCGCAGTTTAGCATGACATCTTCACAGCTTCACAATTCCACCATCTTCTCTACCCAAAGCTACCCTATACCCCAACTTCACAGAGTAATTATCATCTCTACTCATCATCCAAAGACATTTATCTGCCAAATTCGATCTAGGAATATTAATAGAGTTAATGAGAACTTTATCTTCATCACTGAACCAATCTTTCGTTCCTTCAAAACACCAATAATTATTTCTGATTAAGCTCTTCATAGTCAAACTCTTTTTTTCTTCATCCAAATCTCTGGAAGCCAATGCATACCCAGTAGCTTCAGGAGTCCAATTGTCAACAAAAACTCTGATCCTCTCTCCAGTCCCTACTCTCTAACAAAGATCTTTTTCTGTTAAACCTGTTCCTTCTAAGATGCTGAACCAACCCCAAGAAGATCTACAACCTTACTTTGCCTGCAAAAAATACTATCGGAAAAATAAAAACCTTTCAAAATCCTACACCATAAAGCATCTGGATTTTGGACCAACCTCCATCTAGTATTAGCAAGGAGAGCTTTGTTAAACAACTCTAATTTTTGAAACCCATTCCACCTTCACTTTTAGCCAACCTCAGTGATTTCCAAGATTTCTAGTGTATTCTACCTTCTTGTTCCCTCTGATCCTTCCAGAACCTTGCCATTGAAGAATGAACCGTTAGTCATCTTAGGTCCGTTTCAAAATCAACTGAATTAAGACAATATAGTGCACAATCCAGGTTATATTCATTTTAAGGAGTCTCTAAAAATTCCTGAGTAACTAAGTATGCAAACTCTAGAGGATTGACTTGGAAAATGATTGATTTTCTTTTTAATTAACTATTTGGCAAATTTTAGAAAGATGCAATAAGAGTAAAAAAATTTTGGGTTTTTAGTTTATAAAAATGGTATCAATGAAGTGAAATATGAAAATTAACAAGTATAAAAATGGTATGAGTGAAATGAAATATGAAAATTAACAAGTGATAGCAATGAAATGGCAATCCTCTAGCATAATATTTTAGGCTATCATTCCGTAAACCCTGCTATTCATTTCTCTCCAAAACCCATTTTCCTCATTACTTCTTCCACAAAACACCAATCAAGCCTATCATATGCTTTATTCATATCTATTTTAACAGTCATTTACATTTTTCTTCCCTTTTTATTTTTCAAGTAATGGAAAGCTTCCTGGGCTATCAAAGTGTTACCTTGAATCAGTCTTTTAGCTACAAGTGCTCTTTGATGTTCAGAAATAATTCTCATTAACAGTCTCCTCAACCTATTTTGCCAGGAGCTTTGAAACAATTTTATAAACAAAATTGCAAAGCCCTATATGTCTAAACTATCCCACATTCTCAGCATGGTCTACTTTGGCTAGGAGGACCACATTTGTACAATTCAACTTTCTTAAACTTGTAGTGTTTTGAAAAATAAAATAAAATCACAAACCATATCAACCACTTCCATACTCACCACCCCCAAGTAGATTGATAGAACATACCTGAATAACATAAGGATCCAGAGTTTTGTAGCCATTCAATTTATAAGAAGCAGATTTCATTTCCTCTACAGTGACCTTTGCCTATAATCTTTCGTTCTGCTCCTATAACTCAACCTTGTTAACATGAGAAAGAGCCTCCTCCATGTCACGGCTCCCCTCTAATGCAAAAAGCTTCATGTAAAAGTCTACAAAAGCATCATTTCTTTCTTTCTCTTCTTCTAACCAGTTACCATTATTCCCTCTCAATCTAAGCGCTTTATTCTTCATTCTTCTCTGCATTGTACAAGAATGAAAGAATTTTGAATTTCTGTCACCTGTTTGAAGCCAACTAACCCTTGATCTCTGCCACCAAAACTTCTCTTCCATATCCCAAGCCTCTTCAAACTGCTTCCGTAAAGATTCAGCTTCCGTCCTTCTTTCCATCATAAGCATATTATTCAGCTAACTGAGCAGTAAGTTGCTCTACCACTTTTCTGGCATTAGGAAAAACCTCTTTTTCCCCACTTAATCGTACTTCAATTCCCTACAGTTGTTCAAACTTTCCACCAACATATCCACACAACTACTATCATTTCCCTCAGACCACCATCCCTTCTTTATAACAGAAAGAAATGCATCATGTTCAGCCCAGAAAACTTTGAACCTCAACACTTTTGGAATTTTGTTATATTTATAGTCACATTCAAAAACTAACAACTGATGATCTGAACCCACTGGATCCACATGAATCAACACAGCGTTTTGGAATTCACCCCTAAAATCCATATTTCCAACTACTATGTAAATTCGTTCTTTCACATGCCCTTCATCTCACCGCTTATTACTCCAAGAGAAATTTGAGCCTTGATAACCCAAATCCACTAATTGACAATCTAAAAGCATGCACTGGAAATTCAAAACCCTTCTTATATCTACCGGTAATGATCCGCACTTCTCATTACTTGATACCACATCATTAAAATATCCAATGGAAAGCCAAGACTTGTTAATCCTTCCTGCTATCCTCCTCATCCCATCCCAAACCAACCTATTTCCCCCATCTAGTTGTGCACCACAAACAAATGTTGCGTACTTTGGGACATGAGTCACTGAAGACTCCAGAGAAGCATGAATTAAATTCTTCAACCTTGAACAAATATTAACAGTCAGATCTCTCATCCACCACAGAGCCAAACCATCTCCCTTTCGCATTGGCTCCACATAAAATTCCTCCTCCATTCTACACATCTCTTTAATTCTACCAATCTTTGCTTTCTTCATTTTTGTTTCCATATTAGGAAGATTATAGAAGGTCTGTGTTTGAAAAATTCCTCCTTTAACTTCATAATTGTTAAGGTTCTTCCCAGACCTTGACAGTTCCATGCTGGGGTCTTCATGGCCTCTTAGTGGCTTTTAGGCCAGCCACTAAGACCTTCAGCACAATTCATCATATTTTGACTCAAAACGTTCTCCATTGTCTCCATTTCTACTAAATCAGAAACTCCTTGACTCCTTGCTCCTCTTCTCCTATCTTCCCTTCTCATTTTGCATTTAATTAGATTAGTACTACCACTACCTCTCTTGTTTTTGAGAGTTTGCTTGTTCTCCACCGATTCAATAGGATCACTTTCAAAACACAACTTTCTTCTCTCACTTGATTGCAATCCACTTCCTCCCCTAATCCTCTCTTCAACCTTACCTTCTTCAACCAAATTTAAACTAATACTAAAGAACCAAAACACAACATGTTTTTATTAGTCAGCCAAGTAATTAAATCTCATCATTTGAATTTAGTTGGATTTAAAGAGAAACCGTTCCATGGTCAATTAAGTGTGAAATTAAATAAGGCTTTTGCCATGAAATTTTTTCATATAATAACTTTTGAATAATTATTAAATATGAAATTACAAAAGTGCACAAAGTCAACATAACGGAGAACGTATGCAGCATGCATATGTGTGCGTACAAGGGTGCGTCCAAAATCAACATGTGCACTACTTCTCTCTCTTTATTCCATAGTAAATTCTTTATCTGTTTAACTTCTATTTATATATTTTTTATTTTTGAATTCATTGATTCTAAATTAAATATTTATTCAACAATTACAGTATAACAATTAAAAAAAAATACATAAGTCATTCTACACTAATTCTAATTATGATTTTCTTAATTTTTATTATTTCAAAATTTTTACAAAGACTTAAACAAATAAAAAATAATTTTGTTCCATATTAAAGATTGCTCTTGTTCTACCAAGAGAAAATCTCACTATCGTCGATTCAGATATCCAAAGAATTCTTTTGGGTTGAAATGAATATTATTTGAAATTTTTTTAATATATTTAACGTCAGTTTTAGAATTATTCTTAAACATATCATTGTTCATCACATTTGATAGTTTTTGTATAATAGAGTAAATTTAATGTCAAAGTAAACTCAAATTCGAAGCCTGTGTGTGCACGTGCACGCATATGTATGTATGGTAATAATTCTATCATTGAAACAAAAAATTTATTTAAATAAGTGTAAAAATCAAGTAAAAACTATAATATAAAAATTAAATAAAAAATTTAAATATAACTCAAACTGATGAACAATAATACGGGATATTTTCAATTGTTCAATAAGTAAGTAAATTTCTTCATTTAAATTCATTTTTGTTTAAATGGGCAAAAAATTCTGTTTTAGCCCAGTCGAGTAAAGTATGAACACAAAATTCTTGGAGAGATAAATTACTGAAAAAGCAGATTAATTGGCAACGCACCGAAAAAATGATATAGTTAAACTTAACAGACTCTCATGCAATTACTAGAAGGCATGCAATTTGATGTTATAAGAAATTTGATTTCTCCCTTTCCAAATAATGTGATCTGTTTTAGTTTTCTTCTTATAAGTCTATTCAGTCTTTTTACAACCAGTTGTTGCTATTCAGTTATATTTGGATGCCAACCTTTTACAATCATGATATTATTATGTCTTACTTTTATTTTTTTCCTTTAATCATTTTCTTTAATAGAGTAAATTTAAAACGACATTTTGTTTTCCACAAAATATAATATTTAAGTACTCTGTACCATATGATTTATACTCTGTTCATTATAAATGCTAAACATCATATATATACATATGAGCTCACATGTTACGTACACGCACTAGCACATTCTGTGGTCGATTTTCTGCTTTTTTTCTCGTACTTTATTTAAAGAATACATATCCTATTTAATTTTCTTTTGTCAAATTTTCAATTGTTTCTTTTCTATTTCATAAATTTATTGATATCCTATTAAACCACTATCTAATAATCACAACATGGAAACTGTAACTTTGAAATAAATATTCTAGGACCATGGCATCTCAAGGTAGTTTATGATTTTCTTAATTTTTTTACTTCAAAAATTTTACAAAAACTCGAGAAATGATGAAAACAAATTTATTTGTTTATTTTCTTATCAAGGCTATATGGAAGTCATGATTACCATCAATTTTTTTATGGGCAAGTTTTGCACATAAAGCATAGGCTAACTCGATAAACTTAATGTGTCAGACTTACTCCTTTTAATTCGAAAGGCGTTTAATATATTCAACATTTCAACATCCACAAATATTAAAGTCTTGGGATTAGCAAGAGAGGTGTATTTTTCCATGTTATCTGCAAACACTATTACCTGTTTCTGTTTCTTTTTACAGATCAGGTTTTTTTTTTTTTTCAGGTTTTATACCCAAGGACATAGGCAGTCTTGTTAAACTTGAAGTCTTAGATTTGGGATCAAATCATTTGAGCGGACCTATTCCTTTCAGTGTATTCTCCATTTCAACATTGAAACACTTACACCTTGGCAATAACTCCCTCTCTGGTGTTCTCCCATCATATTTAGGGATTGGCCTTCCCAACTTGGAGCAATTACTACTGTCTCAAAATGAGCTGATTGGACAAATTCCAAACACCATATCAAATGTTTCTAAGCTCATTAGGTTAGATTTATCATTGAATAAATTTAACGGAGCTATACCCAATGTCATTGGAAATTTAACAAACTTGTTCGACTTAACTTTGAATGGGAATGATTTGAATGGATTGATTCCAAACACAATCAGAAACTTACATAAGCTTCAACGTTTAAGTCTCAGCAACAACAGATTGCAAGGTGCCATTATAGACGAACTTTGCCTGCTCAAAAGTCTAAGTGAGTTGGATCTTGCTAACAACATGTTTTCAGGAGTGGTTCCCAGATGTCTCGGGAATACTTCTTTGCGAAACTTGAATTTTAGCTTCAACAAATTGATTTCTCATATGCCCTATTCTCTTTGGAGTCTTAAAGATATTTTGATTTTAGACATATCCTCCAATGCATTGAGTGGATCAATTTCACCAGAGGTATCAAACTTGGGAGCAATTATACTATTGAACTTGTCAAGAAACCAAATTTCAGGAAGCATTCCTGCAACTATGGGTGGTTTGCAAAACTTGCTAACCCTCTCTTTGGCTCACAACAAATTACGAGGGTCTATTCCTAAATCATTTAGCAGCATGATAAGCATAGAGTCTATGGATCTTTCCCATAATTATTTGTCTGGTGTGATTCCAAAGTCCTTAGAGTCATTACTCAATCTTAAATACATCAATCTTTCCTACAATTTATTGGATGGAGAAATTCCAAATGGTGGTCCTTTTCAAAATTTTACTGCTCAATCTTTTACAATGAATAAAGACCTCTGTGGAAAACCCCAACTACAAGTCCAACCATGTAGGAGAGGAAACAAGCACATATTAAATAAAGTGATACTGGTTATAAAATGCTTAGTACCTATCATGGTTGTCATTTTGGTTGTTATAGGCATTGTCTTTCTAAAGCATAACAGAGATGATGCTAACTATGCAACACGAAGGGATTTAACAAATTTAGATGCACCACCTAGGATATCTTATTATGAGCTTCTACAGGGAACAAATGGATATGATGAAAGTAATCTTCTTGGCTCTGGAAGTTTTGGATCAGTATACAAAGCAGTTCTTCTAAATGAAAAGATTGTTGCTGTCAAAGTATTTAACATAGACATGGAAGAAGCATTGAGAAGTTTTGATATTGAATGTGCTGCCATGTGCAATTTACGCCACCGTAATCTCATCAAGATTATTAGTAGTTGCTCAAATGATCATTTCAAGTCTCTAATCATGGAATTCATGTCCAATGGAAGTCTTGATAGATGGTTGTACTCTCATAACTACTATTTAGATATCCTACAAAGATTGAATATAATGGTTGATGTGGCAGTTGCATTAGAGTATCTTCATCATGGTACTTCTACTCCGATTGTTCATTGTGACATAAAACCAAGTAATGTTTTGTTGGATGAAGATATGGTGGCTCATCTAAGTGATTTTGGTATAGCTAAACTATTAGGTGAAGGACAATTGGAAACTTACACAAAAACAATGGCTACAATTGGCTATATGGCACCAGGTAATGGTTTAATGATAACATTCTAGTCCAATTATGTTGGCTTTTTATCATTCTATGTGAAATTTTATATTATACAATCATTGATATGCATTTTCCATTCCTATAAGCGAGGATTTGTATTCGCCATATAAAAGAAAAGTTTAATGGCAAACCTTATATTCTCTTTTGACATATAGAGTATGGATCAAAAGGAGCGGTTTCTTTCAAGGGAGATGTGTATAGCTATGGTATCATGCTAATGGAGATGTTTACAAGGAAGAAGCCAACTGATGAACTGTTTGTTGAAGGTCTTGGTTTGAAAGAGTGGGTCAGCAAATCAACACCACATTCAATTATCAATATTCTAGATGTCAATTTGCTACGTGAAGGGGATCCAAATATCAACAATATATTACCACAAATATCATCAATTTTTGAGTTGGCATTAAGTTGTTGTATTGAATTACCTAAGGCACGAATTATGATGACAGATGTTGTGGTCTCATTGAAAAAGATAAGGTCACATTTACCTAAGATGTTAGAGATGCACCACTAGTTAAATGATCTTTATATGGAAGTTTTAGTTACCATTTCTTTTATCCTTTAGTTTACTTTGTCTATGAAACATGTCATATCTTAAAATGGCCATAATTCTATGTTTGTTATATTAATATATGAAGTCTCTACATTTTTATGTCTTGAGGTATTTTCCTTTTTCTTACATTTTTTTCATTGCAATTGTATTTAGCTATTTAAATTGCATTTGATTCTTTTATTTTTCGTTTAACAAAAAGGATTATAATTCAAAACATTGAATAAACTTATGAGAAAATTTACATAGTTTATAAGGGTTTTCTGTTCTCTATAAGAAATGTGCGAATGTGAACATTAGATTTTGCAAGGTTTTTGGGTTTTGAGAAGTCTAGATTATTTAAATTACAAGGTCTAGTTTCGTTGCGTTTGCCAAGTTGACTTAGTTCATCCTGGGAATACATGCTTACTTATAGCAGCTTAATTAAATTACTTAGATAGACTCACTTCATGCTTATATAGTTGTGATTAATCCTTTAAACACTACTCGTATGAGACCATCATACATCTAATAAGAATAAATACTAAAATTTTTAGATGCAATGAGTATAATATAGAAATTCATATGCCACACATGAACTCTTGCTCCATTCTTAAGCTTGACGGGCAAGAGAAGATTAGGAAAAAAATTAATGCTTTCTTCATTTCTCAAGTGTCTCGACATGAAGGAAAAAGAAGCCCAATAACCATTTCTATGGAAGATATATATATATATATATATATATATCACACATAGGGCTACTCTCAAATATTTTATCGAAATAAGGCATTTGGGTTTATTTGGAAGGGCCCTTGAGCACCTCTCGTATAGTACTTGATAAATCCCTGTTTTAGTATATTATTTGATATCTTTTTAGTGATATTTATCAATTACAATGAGATAATTTGCATTGATTGTGGATATTTTGAATTAAATACTGATTGCATGAAATTAGAGATTTAATAGGAAATCTTATCATATTTTTATCTTCTTTTAAATAATTGATTTTAGGATTTATCATGGTATCTCAATTTATCTTTTGTAGACATCACAAAAAGGAAATAAACAATAAAGGGAAGAATTTAAAAGGAAAAAAAAAGGGGGGAAAACAAGATATGCAACCTACCGTATGGCCATCATAGGATTAGGTTATTGTGATATATATATATATATATATATATATATTTATATAAGCATGAGGAGAACGGAGATCGGGGCCGCACGCACACCACCACTGAAAAACGCCGCGCACACACGCCGCAACACTTCAATTTCAATCTTCCCAATTCATCTTTATTCCCCTCCATCAACGACACCCCACGTATCATCGCCACCAACATCATCATCGCCCATGGCTGCTGAATTCTTGGGACGTGTTTTGACTGGGTTCAGAGCTATGAGAGGCTGAGTTCGCTATGCTCTCTGGGATTGAATTCAATGGCTTCAAATGAGAGTTTAATTCTAGTCCTTAGTTTAGACTATTTTATTGATGATTTTTGGTTTGAAGTTAGTTATATTTGGTTTAAAACTAGGAATTGCTAGTTGTAATTCTTAGTTTGGATTGGAATTGTTAAGATTTGGATCGGTTATTTGGAGTTTGAGTACTTGATTTACACATATATTATGTTTATGCCTTTGTTAATTCATTGTTAATATGATTTTTACACAAGTTGTATAGAGATTATGCTTGAAGTGAATTTAACAAGTAATTAATGTTCTAGTTGAACATTAATTTAAAAGGAATAACTTCTCTAAACCAATTCTAATCACTTGAGTTACTCACATATCATTAAACAAATTAGGATAGTCATTGATTCATTCCCTAAGAGCATTCTCATTATTGATTTCTTATAATTCAAATTTGCTTTTTTTCATTCTCTCTTTATTAAAATTAAAAAAAAAGTAGTTTAGATTTATTTCTTTATTTTGATAATCAGTTTTAGAAAAAAATCAAATCCCTTTTCAAACCCCTCCTTTTCAATTCTTTTGTCACTTAGTTAACTTTGGAATTAATAAAAAAACTCCTCAAAAGACACGACTTGAGTTGTGTTTTAGTGCATAATTTGGTTTTATTTTTTGATTTAACCCAAGGTGTCAAATCAGTACTTCCTCATTCTTAATTTAGCTGAGATTATTAATTGGGGCAAATTTTAAAAAAAGAATACTGAAATCAGTATTTTTCAACTCAAAACACCTAACATTTCGAAACAACGGAGAATGGAGTAAACCCAAATTAGAATTTTCAAATTTAAGAGAAATGACAAAAATGTCCCTTTGTAAATAACAATTCATCAGGGATAACAATCTTAATTGTAAAATAATAAGTCTCAATTTGGGACTAGCAGCACTTTTTTTTGATGCACAATATGTTAATCAATTAAAAATGACAACAATTCATCTAAGAATAATAAGTCCTGATTGTAAAATTACAAAGTTCAATTTGGAATTAACATGTTTTTTTCCCCTGATATATGACATGTGAAATAACATGTGAACTAATTAAAAATGACCATAATTTATTAGGGAATAACAAGTCCTAATTGTGAAATTACAGGTCTTGATTTAGGATTAACAACACCTTTTTTCAATGGGATTAACAAAGGAATATTTTTGTTATTTCCCTTGAATTTTGAAATTTCAATTTGAGCTTACTTCCTTCTTTGTCATTTGAAGTATTAGGTACTTGAATTAGAAAATATTAATTTCAGGATTTTTTCCTGGAATTTTCCCTAATAATTTTTTTTAGTAACATCCATACTAATTATGTTGTGGTGCCTTGTTAAATTAGTTTTGTATATCTAATATTCATTCGTGTTCTTTTTCATTTTGACATTCTTATACCCCTCACAAAAAGTTGAAGCTCACAATTTTACATTTAAAAGGTTTTGAAGGTGTTTAGTCCCACAAGTCCCAACTATTTGCGTTTTATTTTAAGATAAGAAAATAAAAAATCACAAGCATACAATTTTTTTTCTTTTGCCAACCACAAACAATACAACTGAAAATTGAACACATCAATGACCTAAAATCAGCCTATAATGTATTTTCCTTTAACCCTTTTTTTTTATATAACAACATGAAATCCTTAACCAAAGTCTACATGATCACTTGTCATAGCATAGCGATCAGCAACCAAAATAGAAGACAGCTCCATCGGGACAGTAACAACTACATGTAATCCATTCACAGCAGCAAGCCCTTGTTTCGCAAAGAAGTCCAGCTTTATTACATTCTTTGTTCACGTAAGCAATATTCACCTCCCAATCCCTACTCATCAACGAACGGATTTCATTAATGAGACTGTGGTCATAATGATGTTCCTCAGGACCAGCTATAATAAGGTCAATGGCACTGCTTGAATCAGACTCTAATATAATTTTGCGGTAACCACAATCCCAATCAAGCTTCAATCCATGTAAGCACCCCCAAAGCTCCACATGAAGTGCGTCTCCATGGTCCAAATTATGCATGAATCCCTGTATGAACTCTCCTTCTGAATTCGGTAAAAGGCTTTCACGAACAAGCAGCTACATCATCGATCTACAACGTTGGAGGACACGCAGCTTCCATATTTTCTCCCAAAGCGAATCCGACTCCATACCAACGATTGACAGAAGGTCCTAAGCTCACTTGACTGAAAACAATCGGCTACGTTCATGTTTCCATCTTGCAGTGGTTCCATTGGCAGAAACTTCTACTCCTTCTTTTACCTTCTTCCATGTCTTCTTTATCCCCAACTAGACATTGGATCCACCCCGCACAGAATCAATCTTGGGGATAAGATCATTACCACATCAGTATTTATCGCGAACAACTTTGACCCAGAGATCATCATGACAATTAACCAGTTTCCAGCCGAGCCTCATTAGATGAGCATGATTTTGAAATGTAGCATGTCTTAGTCCGAGTCCTCCTTTTGATTTCGGCTTGCAAACTGCATCCCAAGCAACCAACAAAATCTTTTTCTGATCATCTGTATTTCCCTAAAGAAAGCTCCTATTGAGCTTGTCAAGAGTCTCACAAGAGGTAGTTGTGAGCAGAGATGTTTGCATGGTGTAACTTGGGATTGCTGATGTCACTAAAGAGATTAGAGTAGAGCTTCTTCCATTTGACCAAATGCTGTTTAACCTTGTCAACGACCTGCTTGTAAGTATCCTTGCTCACTATCTTATGGTGAAGAGGTACACCCAAATATTTTCCCAAATCTGTTGTTTGTGTAAATCCCATCTAGATGCTAATTTCTGTACATCTGTTATGATTGATATTAGGGGAAAAAAACGCACGGGTTTTAGAAAAGTTTACCTTGAGACCGGAACAATTGCAAAAAATGTCTAGACATTGTTTAATCAACTTTGCTTGTTGCAAAGACGCTTCCACAAATACGATGATATCATCCGCAAAGAACAAGTGGGAAATAGGTGGCCCATTTTTTGTTTGCCGAGTTGGTCTCCATTCATCATTACGCATTTTTTCTTGGATAAGGTGCGTAAGCTTCTCCATGCAAATCACAAACAGATATGGTGACACTGGATCTCCTTGTTGAACCCCTCTAGAAGAGTTAAATGAATATGCCTTATTGCCATTCCACAATAATTGCAGCTCGACTGTGTTAACGCAATAATCAATAACTTCAGTGAGGATAGAAAGGAGGTTCAACTCCTTCAAACAATGGTTCAAAAATTGCCAATTGACTCTATCATTGGCCTTTTCGAGATCAATTTTAATAGCCATGTAGCCCTTTTTCCCCCTCATATTTCTTATCGAATGAATAACTTCCTGTGCCACTATGATATTATCAGATCCATGTCAACCTGGCACAAAACCACACTGATTTGGAGAAATTACTTGTGGTAAAAAGGTCTTCATTCTAGTAGCCACGATTTTAGTAATCACCTTATAGACAACATTGCACAAACTAATGGGTCTCAAATCCTTACAAGTTTCAGGAGGATCTTTTTTAGGGATCAGCACCACTAAGGTTCCAT